GTATTTGAAATACCGGTGGCATAGCTTCCAGCATCACAGCAACACACAAGCCATCACAGTCCGACAGACTGACGGATGAGTGGTGGAGATCACAACCGTAAAGATGACAGCGTAGGAAACCCTGTGGGGCAGCTCTGCTCTGTCACATGGGGTCATCACGAGTCGGAATCCACTCCACAGCACCTGACAACAACATAAGCCTCCTGCTCTTCGGGTCCAGCCCCAGGAGCGCCCTCTGGTGTTTTGTTCCTGTACTCCCACCCGAAACCCAGACAGGAGCCCCTGGGCAGTGGTGGGAAAATGAAATTAAACACAAGATCTCCTGTCAACCCAGAAAACCTCTCTGCAGCGGTGGAGGAGAAGGAAAACAGTTTTACCATCGAAGAAGCATTAAACCAGAATGTGACGCGTGTCACAAGCAATCCGCTGAAGAGATTTCAAAGAAATCTCACCCTTTTATCCAGCCAGGCAGATACAACATGTTCTCAAGATAAACGATAACTAGAACTCAAGTAGGAGGATTGACAGCACCATTCCCAGCTCATGGCAACCCCGTGCCCAGGGGAAGGAAACACTGCCCAGTCCTGCGCCGTCCCAAGGTGGGCTGTGGATCTCACCAGGCCTTTCTTCCTAGTCTGTCTTAGTCTGGAAGCTCTGCGGAAACCTGCGCAGCATCACAGCAACAGGCAGGCCTCCACTGACAGGTGGTGGCTGCACTTGAAGTGCACTGGCCAGGAATTGAACCTGGGTCTCCCGCATGAAAGGCAAGAATTGTACCACTGAACCACCCCTACTCTCAATTTATCCTAAATTCACTTGGTAATTGGGGTGGCCGTCTGTATTTGCTAACAGTCTTTATCCAAAGGAAAAGGATTTCTGGGTGGCGCAAATGGATAAGCACTCAACTACTAACCAAAAGGTTGGCGGTTCAAACCCATCCAGAGGCTCTCAGAAGAAAGGCCTGGCAATCTGCTTCTGAAAGGTCACAGCCTTGAAAACCCTACGGAGCACAGTTCTACTTTGCGTACATGGGGTCGCCATGAGTTGAAATCAACTCGATGGCAACCGGTTTGGTTTTGGTTTTGGTAACCTGGAGCCAGCCACCCACCAAAGTGAGGCTCCCACACTCCCAGGGAGACAGGAAGATTGGCTGCACTGTCTTACTTGATGATTACGTGTCCAAGAGGTGGCTTCCAGGTCCTTGAGAAAGACATTTCTGGGTTATGAAGAGGGTGGCAAGAGCTTTTTTTTTTTTTTTTTTTTAACCTTTTCAATGATTTACATACCTCTCAAAGGGGTAGAGAAAGAATGTACAATGACAGGTTTCAAAAGAAAACAGGGAGAAAAGGGGCAACCTCCTTCTCTTTTGCACCAGGGAAGATGAAGTGTTTTTCAATTTGTATTTGCCCTTCCAGCAGTTCTGGGCTGAGTGTGTCAATCACAGCAAGAAAACACGTTCAGTCAGTAAGGGGGCCTAAGGGGGCCTCGCTGGGGAAGGAAGGGTTTGGCAGCAAATGGAAACAAAGGCCCAAGAGTGCATTGGGGAGCAGCCGCGGGGCCAGGGATTCAGACGGGAGGTGGTGGGACCGAGGGTCCAGGCTGAGGCCGGAAAGGAGCTGGGGATTCTGACGGGAGGTCCGGCTGAGGCCGGAGAGGAGATCGGAGGGCCGGGAGGGGTTGTGGCCGAGGAGCGGCGTGGATAAAGGCTCCGTGAAGGCAGGCTCTGCGGGCCAGCAGCATCTGGACCGCCTGGGAGCTCATGAGAAACGTGGACCCTCAGGCCTCAGCCCAGACCTGCTTGGTCAGCAGGGCGGAGGCAGGGCTGGCAGGCCCCTCCAGCCCAGGACGCGTCTGCAGCATGTCTGGGCAGCGCTGGCTGTGGGCCCTGCCCCCGTGTTATTTCATCTCATCCTGGGCAGTCCTGACCCTACCACCTGGGGATCTGGGCTGCCGCTGTCTGACCCCATGGCTCTGTGGCTCAGCTGCAGCTCACTGTGAGAATAGACATGGTCCAGCTGCAAGGTTGATAAATGAAGCTGTCTGACCCAGATACCGGACCTATGAGATGAGCCCCGAGGACTGCTGTCAGAGCTGAAAGCATCCTTCAATAAAACAGGCACTATCTGTATTGAGAAGGGCTTCTTTTCTGCTTCTTAATCCAAGTGTTGGGTTTTCTCCTTCCCTGACATTCCAGGCCTGGAGGTACTCAATAAATATTAACAGACACGTGGGAACCTAATTTGCCACATAAACTTTCACTGAAAACACACTGAAATATTATTTTGAAAATATTAACAGACACGTGGGAACCTAATTTGCCACGTAAACTTTCACTGAAAACACACTGAAATATTATTTTGAAAATATTAACAGACACGTGGGAACCTAATTTGCCACGTAAACTTTCACTGAAAACACACTGAAATATTATTTTGAAGATGTTAACAGACACCACGTGCAGTGATTTTTTGTACAAATCCCAGTCAGTGTACTGTCAGGAACTGGCCCCCTTGTCACCTGTTCAGGTCTCGCGCTAAATCTAGTTTTGGAAATAAATATACCACAGATGTTGCTCTACTTATGTCCCTGGGTGGTGTGCAAATGGTTAACATGCCCAGCTGCTATCCGAAAGGTTGGAGGTTCAAGTCTATCCAGAGGGGCCTTGGAAGAAAGGCCAGGTGATCTATTTTCAAAAAGTCAGCTGTTGAAAACCCTATGGCGCAGTTCTACTCTGACACACACGGGGTTACCATGAGTCAGAGCTGACAGCAACTGGTTTGGGGTTTCAGGTTGTTTGGTTTTTTGTCCTTATTATTTAGAGTAGGAGCCCTGGTAGCACAGTGGTTAAAGCGCTCAGCTGTGAACCGAAAAGTTCAGCAGTTTGAACCCACCAGCCACTCAAGAGAAAGACATGGCAGTCTGCTTCCGTAAAGATTACAGCCTTGGAAACCCTATGGGGCAGTTCTCCTCTGTCCTGCAGGGTCGCTGTGAGTTGGAATTCAACTCGACGGCAACGAGTTTGGTGGTTTGGTTCGAGCAGATAGAACATGGTTGTCATGGGCTCAGTGTGGACTCAGATGGCCAGGGTGCCAGTCTTGGTGATTTTGGAGCAGCTCAGGCTTGACCTCTCTAAGCCTGTGGTGCTCTTCTGTAAAGTGGGGGAAATAATAGTCTAACTCAGCAGGCTGTTGTGAGGATTACCTGAGACAGTGGGTGGCGAGAAAGCACAGGAGCACTCCCTGGCTCGGAGAAAGTGCTCCATGAGGTATCACTGTTGTCCACAAGTGTGGAAGCCCTGCTGTATTAGTCCCTGTTGCTGCTGTAACAAGTTACCACACGCCTGCTGGCCTAAAACAACACAGATGTATTCTCTTACAGCTCTGGAGGTCAGAAGGCCAGGAGGGGTCTCACAGGGCTAAAGTCACGGTGTCAGCAAGGCTGGTTCCTTCTGGAGGCTCCAGGGGAGAATCCGTTTCCTTAACTTTTCCAGCTTATAGAAGCTGTCCACATTTCTTAGCTTGTAGCCCCTTTCTCCGTCTTCAACTCTCTCTCACTCTGCCTCGCCTGCTCCTCTCTCTTCACTTGTAAGGACCCTTGTGATTCCATTGGGGCTGCCTGGATAATCCAGGACAGTCTCCCCAACCCCAGATCCAAAACTTAATCACAAGTGCCTTATGCCATGTCAGGTAGAATATTCACAGGTTCTGGGGATTAGGACCTGGACATGGGGAAGGGCAGGGCATTATCCTGCCGACCACAGTATCCAGTATCTAGTGTCTATAGTACCTAGAGGCATAGTATCTGTCTAGTGTCCAGTCTTTGGCTGCAATTGCTGACTGAGTGCATTGCTCTCAACTCACTGAGTAGGAAAGAAGTTAACTGACCTCCTGTTGGTCAGGAAAGCAAGGATAATGTTGATCTCTCGTTGGGCAGGAAAGCAAGGATAACGTTGACCTCTCGTTGGGCAGGAAAGCAAGGATAATGATCTCTCGTTGGGCGGGAAAGCAAGGATAACATTGACCTCTCGTTGGGCAGGAAAGCAAGGATAATCTCTCGTTGGGCGGGAAAGCAAGGATAATATTGACCTCTCGTTGGGCAGGAAAGCAAGGA